GTTAGTGAACAGAAATTTTTGGCTAAGAATTAATGAAAAAAAATAACATTTACTATGAATTACTGTATGAACCTGCTAAACCTTTTATGTTTTACCTAAGACTTGTTTTTATGAATCTCAATCGTGAAAATATATAATTGTTTTTTTGATAGTTGGCATACATTTTACAATTTTCTAATCTAGCATCTAGGTAGCCCAGGCATTTTTGGGGATTGGTGCAAAATTTCGCAAAATAAAGACTTTGTTCAACATTAAATGGAATGTGACCTAAAATAATTATGCAAATGTATAATAAAGTGTACATATAAAATAATATAAAAATGTCATAATAAGAATTTACAGGTCAATGAAAATACAACAAAAGACATGATGTTAGTAAATTTTGAGTTTTCGCTAGTTGAAAAGGTAAGGCCTATTATTTATTTGTAAACATTGTAGTGCAGTATCTATACGCAATACTATAAACATTTGATATTGTAAGTAATGTAGCTAGGACTGTTCATTACAGTCCCAAGAATAGTTGAGGTGGTCCCTAAGTGAGTCAACTGAGTGAATGCTTTCTATAGGGATGCTCAAATCAAAACAAACTTACTTCTGCGATTTTGACCGATATTTCTTGCTTTCTGTTTTCGTTTGAGTTAATAACGGATAGTTATTATGTTGTTAAACAAATCTGTCAACTCATTTAATGCTTCGCAGTTCAAACACAAACATTATCCAGAGCTTGATTTGACAAAGTTAATGTGGTAAAAATCAATGGAGGAGATTTCATAGGCCAAATAATAACATGCTTATGAATAAAACTGGGAGGGATTGTTGTGCCACACTAACTGTCTTGGCATACCTGGCCACACATGGATGTTGCAACATTCCTGCAAGATTTGTAGGTGCTCCAGCTTTTTATAATAATAATATACTTTATTTTTACACGGATACACTTGATTCACCCAAGGGTGTTTTTCGTCAAGGCCGTGCAAGGCCATGTAAAGTAACAAAATATAAGGAAAATATAAAATTAAAAGAACAATATGAAAACACCATTTAAACAAAAGGTTACAAAGAAGCAAAAAGGGTGTGGAGTTACACTGATGATTACAGAAAATAATATGGGGATAACAAAACAAACAAAAGTAACCATGATTGGTTAAAGTCTTTTTCAGGGATAAAGGACAAAATCAAAGGTAAACATTATGAAAGTAAACTTTAGGAGCACATTTCAGATCATCTTCAAGGTTATTCCAAATATTACTACCATGAAATGAGAGACTATTTTTCAGTGTGTGAATGAAGTAATTCTTTTAATATTTGTTTATTTTTCTGCATTATACGTTTAGATTATTTTTTTCCCTAGAATTTTATACTGAATAAAAATAATATAATGCAACAAGTTTATCCACCAAAGCACACAATCTGTACAATGTTATTTTTTCTTTAAATCTGTCAAAAAAAATATAGCAGTGATACTGAGCAACAGCTGATAAGCTACACACTTCCTTATTCATGTTTCCTGCTGTAAGATGTTTCCAGCGAATGTTGCATAAATTGATGACTATCCTCGATATGATCACTAAAATGCCCTTTAGAGGGGCTAATACACAAGAAATATGACAGAACTGTCATTTAAAGGTGTTGCTACAACATGTGGTTTTTAATTACTAATTTCATTTTGATCATGTTTCAATAAGGTAGAATGTTTATGTCTCGCCCACACACTTAAGTGGACTAGATAACCACAAAGGTTGGCTTTGTAAAGGTTAGATCATAACAGTACCTTGCTTGGACATTGTTGTGCAAAAAAGAAGGTGGTTGCGAATAATTATATTTCTTCATTGGTGTTGTGTCTGGTAAAATAATGCAAACCACCAGATTTCAAAGAGTTGATTGTTGATGTTAAGGAAATCGTCACTTTCGGAATATTCTTCAATTAAGAGCAGTCCGAATAAATGGAAAAATATTTACTTGACCAGACAGATTTTATAGGTGCAAGTCTAAAATTCAAAATGAGGTCAAATACTCTTCCATTAGGACATAGACCCTGTAAATGGGTACCCAATAGCGATGGCACTTGCCAATTGTGTAATATTAATAATGGTGTTGAAGATATAAAACATTTTTTATTCACATGTAATCAACTAAACACCATTAGAATTGAAGAATATCATGTTTTAGAAAATAAGCTAGTAAATACTGATTGCCTAACTAAATGTATGGTAGTACTTTATCACCAGTGAGCTTTGTACAAAATTAAGTATTGTTCTTGGGGGAGATGTGCATTGTTACTATAATTATGATGTTCATGACATTTTTGATAAATTTTGCAAATCTTTTGAGAGAGCATGGAAGCTTAGGAATGATTTATTAAGCTCTTAAGGTGCTAGTTGTTTAGGGACTGTCTATTGTACTGTACTTCAGTCGACAAGAGTGCAAAATGTTCTGGAGTGGGAAGAGAGGAAGGGTTTGCTCTGTTGCGGATAATGGTTTCCGGGTGACAAAATCATTACTCTAGGGAGGGGAAAGAAGATCTTGTGTAAGAGTATGTTTTGTGGCGGTTATAAAAACAATGGATGGCTCCTACTGTAAGGCACTGGGTTTCATTGTTCGCTGTTTTAACTTTTTAAAACTTTTTAACACTTTGTACAGCTGTAGTGACAGGTCTCTCATTTGTAGTAGCTGTGCAGGAGTGCATTCTTGGTTGTAACAGCCCTGTTGCGATCAGGTAGTTGGCTGATGGGTGTCTCTGGTGGGCGTTTCGTTTTCTGTACGACTTGCAGGAAAGAGACGTGTCATCTAGAGACTGATGTTGTTTTTTTTTGTCATAGGGAAAATAGAACTATTTTCTCTATGTTTTAGTTTTGGCTGATTTGATTATCTTGTTTTGATGTCTTACTTTTTGATTGTAATTTTTATATTTTTTCTTGTTGTTAGGATGCACCACCCTTGTGGTTGACTGCCACTGATTCAAAAGTTCATATATCCAAATAAATTATTTATTACAAGTTAAGACATTCAATTGCTTATTTAATATATATTGACAAAAGCCCTTAATTATAAGCCAATGTAAAAGTCTGTAAAGAATATGGAAACATGGCTTTGAAATGTGCAGTCGTCTGTGGCAGGGCAAATGTGTTTCCGGTTCCTTGTTCGAGCCACCTAGGCAGAGGTCCGGAAATGCACCAAGATGGTGATGGAGGGTGACCCTGAAGACTATATGCGTTTTATTTTTGCCTGTCTACTTGTCCATCTCATTTTGTTATAAAATACACTTCTGAAAAATAAATAAATAATGCAGGAAAAAAGGTCTATATTGTGCAGGTAGAAAACTGCGCTGCGAGCAGCTCTGTCAAATGTGGATGCGTGCACCAAATAAGATGACATATATTATTATTGTTGTTATGCTCCTAAAATCTACCTTAACTTAGACAATGGAGAAATTAGAGAACAATTTAAAAAAAAACGGGGAAAATAACTTGACATTAAGGGAAAATAACACAAAAGATATTCCCCTTAAGTCTGAGTTAATGCATATTATTATTATGATTATTATTTATTTGTTAAGTAGAATTGAGCAAAGAATATACTTCTAAATATTAAATATATTTTATCAATACATATACTATATCTTAGCACCACTGTTGTAATATAAAGTGAAAATTAATATTCCATACAATGCCATATTCCATGTATTATTTATGGAAATATATGCTCTTACATTTTAGAGTGACCTTAGGGCATAAATTAAATTTCATTCACCATTTAGTTTCTCATTTACGAGATGTGTATTATTCAAACATGATATATACTACAAAATATATATTATATTATTTTGTATTTCTATTTTAAAATAATGTATCCTTTCATTATTCAGAAATATCTGTTAATATTAAAGATGCATGTATTGTCCCATGCAAAATATTAATAAAGTTTTAAAATTGTTTTTGAAATTAACTCATTTTGAAGTAACACTGAAATTTTCAACTTATTAATTATATTTTAAAATATGTTTATTAACTACACAAACTTATACAATGAAAAATGATAAAAGCAAATCCAGTTACTGGAAGTGTTTTAATATTTTCATCATCCAGTATAAAAACCAAGGTACACAATTTTTAAATTCAATCATTTTTATGGTCAGGTTAACTATTTGTGTGTTACTGCAAAATGAGCAAGGAATTTTCAAAATTATATTTAGTATTTGTTGTCATTTTCAGGGGACAATACATCTTACATCAAGAAAACTTCCACCAAATAGTGAAAAAAGCAAAGGTCTTTCTCATAATTAGCACTTCGTGTTCTGAAGAAGCCCAATCTGTAATTGAAAGCCATATGTAGTAACCTAAGGATGTATTATGTTATGAAGAATGACAAAACATTAAAATTAATTTTAAATGAAACATATAAATTAGTGTTTTCAAATGATGTTTACTCTGATTTTTATATCAGATAATAAAGGAGGAAACCCTTCCAGTGTCTATCAGAGTTTCTATACACTGATGTCTGATTGGATATGTAGTTTTGAAAGTATTCATTCCAGAAGCAAAACATTTTCTGTTTTTTTTTTTTGGAAAATGGTTTTTACTAAGAAAACATTTTCTACTCTATGGTGACGATGTCTCTCCATTGGGTTAGTATGTAATACTCTGGGATTTACTCCATTCAGAAAGCGTGTTATGCTCTATGGGAGGTACTCATTCCATTGGGAAAGCATATTCCACTTTATGAAAAATATTCTTCAATTGGGAAAACATCTGTTCTTTAGGAATCTAATTCTCAGAAAAGTATTTTCTTCACTGTGGAATATATTTCCTCTGAAAAAAAGTATTTCTAACCCTAAATGAAAAGAATCTCCAGTTTTTGAAAGGCCTTTCTTATTAACATTATCAACTGGTTTCTTTAATCTTAATACGTAATAATGACCATTGTTATCTCTGTAATAAAGCTATGGAGTGAAACTTATTAATAAAGTGCTTTTTGATTTGTTTCGTCTTTTGCAGGTTATGCCGCGCCACGAGGAGATGCACACACAGTCATTCGGTCGGAGTGGTGGGCTAGTCTGTCGAACAGTGTATCGTAAAAAACATATATCCTTTACTTACCAAAAATACTTAATATTAATAATCAATCTCAAGGTTAGATGTAATATTGATACGCATTGTGTTTTTGTAATTGTAACCAATACTTATGCTATGAATTACATTTCAACTAAAAAGGAATTGGATCAAACTTGCATACATAATACCCACTTGTTTTTCAATTACAATTCAACATTTTTTCAAGTACACACAAAGGAATACTGTACAAACTACAATACATAAATTAACACTTATAAATAAAATTTGAAAAAATTTAATTCATAAAAGCATGGCTTATAACCAATAAATGTATTGATTAAATTATTAAATTATAAAATTGTTGAATAATAAATTCTTCAATTTTTGTAATTTTATTGTATGTGTTGCTTTTGCATGATTGAAAGGTAAATTTTAATGAATTACAATCTAATCTATTAATGATTGTAAAGGTTATTAATAGAATTATAATTAAATATTTCTATTCATTAGTTATAAACGAAGGGTTGATTACATTTCAAATCCTATAGCCCTGATTATATTGTTGTATTCAACGTCAATTCTATAATTAGAAATGTCATCGTTCCTATGCTAGAAACAGAAACAATAACTAAACTATGTAATAAATTATTGGCACTGTTTTGATTCTGAACTAGATCAGGGTATCCGTGGCAACCGCATTGCCATGTAGAGTGATTGTAATGTATCAACATTTTTTGATCAGTCATTCAGTTGCTTGTTAATTATTCATTACCATACTTTATATTGTAAGATGTTTATTTTTTTCTAAC